TGCAGACTAGACAAGTGCGTTGTTGCCATTTGAGACCTCTCCTGTGGTTTAGGGGAGGAGGGGGTGGCGCTCTGGTAACCATACCCACTCGGTGAAAAACAACGAAATAATTACTTAACATCGGCTTCCTAGGAGGCCTTGGTTTCACTATGGGCCCATACGTGCCGAATCACAGCACTCCCATGGAAGTTTAAGAATATCTTTACAACTTTTCTCCCACTCCTCTTTCTCCACCTTCATATATTTCTATTATTTGTTAATTGGTTATTTATTTAGTACCTATGATGAACATTCTTACTGTTACCTTAATGCCATGTAGACTATGCTACTTACAAATTTATAAAGATTTTGTACTAGATTTTATCCCTGGCTCCGCCCGTGTAAATTAAGATAAAAAAAAATGCGTAAATTATCGTAAAAAGTTAAAAAGTAGCCTTTGTCTTTCCTCAAGAATCAAAGTAAATTAATACCAAATTTCATCTAAATCAGTTCAACGGGTTAAGCGTAAAGACAGTAACAGACAAACTGACACATTTTCGCATTTATAATATTAGTATGGGTTACTGATTGAAACACCATAATGTAAAATATAAAACCCAAATATGCTAACATATGGTCATACAAACTGGTGATGGTCTCATAAGTATTTTTTGTGCATCGAGTAGGGTCTCATAAATGTAATCTGTGTTAAGAATCTTCTATTACTGATAATGATACTTTATTTTATTTTATTTAATACTTACACGATGTAGGCACAACATAATGTTACGAGCGGGTATATAATAAATAAAAGTTTTCGGTTAATTACTTTATTTCTGTATTTACTGTATTTACAAACACTTACTACTAGAAATCACTATATATGTTGTTAGTCGTACTAGAAATTCACTCCGATGTTAGTTCGCTGTGTAAAACGAACCATTTAATCTTATGGCGCAACAATACCATTATTGGTTTTTTGTACTGTAAAACCTCTAAGGTTTATTGTAAGTTACTAGTTACTTACTTGAGGTTTTTACACGCTTTGGCCAGCAACACACATTCTCTGACCCCTCGAACGTTGGCCAATGTGGCGTCCCGTAATGGTCCATCGAACCGAATTGTAGCTGCCATGTGAACAACGAAATCGACCTAAACGTAATTAAAATTTGGTTGTAAAATTATTTTAGTCCCACAATACGTTATATACGGTAAGACTATTGCTGTTATCTAGTCGCTATAGGAAAGGTGGTTGTTTGTAGGAAAGACAGATACGAAGCCAAGGGTGTTGTAGGAAGGGAAATTGCCATTGCGAATGGATTGGAAAATCTAAATAATAGTTCGAGCAGATGAGGTTCGCATTCCTATCCGCTATATATCCGAATTTTGCCCGTGAGTCAGCATTACGTTCACCAAACCATGAAGCTAAACGACATTATAGGTGAGACTGCAACAATAAAAAATACTGCAGCGTTTTCTTCTTCTGGTGAGAAGGCACTCTAGACTCCAGTTACGGGCTGAAATGACGGCTTACAGTACAGTAGACGGCGGCCTTAGCAATGAAAGCCACATTAAAATAGAAATGCCTTACCTCGTCAGTAATTTTGACGTAGTCCTTATCACTTAGTCCGAGATTCAGCTCTGAAATGTCTCCTTCTATAGCTTGCAATATGTCTGCGAAATCCGATTGTGTTCTACGTACCATATCGTAAACCTGCGGATGTTATTATAATTATGTAATTGTTACATTTAGAAGACGATGTTAGAGAAAAAGCTGTATTCCGTAATACAAGAGAAACAATGTAATTGCTGAAATAAACATTTGATTTGATGTGACGTGCATATCCTTTATGTCTTCATCGTTCGAACAAAAGTTCAACACTGCTGGACATGGAGCCATCCTTAGAAAGAAGGTTTGGAGTTTTGGCCTACTATACCACGCTGGGCAGACGGGTTGGTACAGGGTTTGTTTAGAGTCAGAGGGTAATGGCGGTCAGAGCCATACGCGGTTACCACACCGTTTCGACGGAGGTGGCGTGCGCGTTGGCCGGACGTCGCCTAAAGAGAGGAAAATTTTGAGACGGAGCCCGCAACAGCAGCGGGCCGGCGCTAGGAGGGGTGCGGGTGTCTTAATAACAGGTGTTCCCGGATCCCTCCTATTACAGGCGCAGAGTGGCACACCGTGTGGTTTTAGTCGGTCGGGTGACGGTCCGAGGGGATTTCCACACGTTAAAAAAAAAAAAAAAAAGGGTTTGTTTAGAGTGTTCCGTCTCTTTACAGTGCTGTTGTTCTGCAGAGTTTTCTCCTTTAGTCAGCTCTTGCGACACCTACAGGATGAATAGGGGTGGTGACACTCCGAATTTTTAATTCGTCACCACACGGACCTTTACAACAACTATAGTTTACTATGATCACATCTGACTAAATCAAAGAAAAGGAAACATCACCAAATATCGTCAAAAAGATAACAGAACCAACACTTCGTTTTAAAATTTATTCTATTTGTAATAAATTTATAATTTATACTCACAGGATCCGTCAACATAAACTGCAGCCTCTCTTGTATGGATTTACCTTTCTTTGGCCTCAATAATACATATATTTTCTTTATTTTACATGCTCTGGAAATAAACAAATAAATTAAAATTATTAATAGTTTATACACAATAACGCTTGTTTACGATGAAATGATTTTTCTTTTTAAACTTATAAAAAAAACAATTAGTTAGTTCGACTAGTTACAACGACGTGCTTTTCAGATTTTATTAAACTTTCATAAATTTTTGGTTTTTTAATAATAATAATAATAATAATCATTTATTTTCATAAATATGAGTACAGGGTTGGACAATTCAATTAACAAAGGTTCATAATATCCTGCCGGGTAGGCGTGCAAAACTTTTCGTCAGAAACTGATACCTACAGAACATGCAATACATAAATTAATGACAATCAGTTTTATTGGTCAAATATCAGGCAATTACAATAACAATAATTAAGTGGTCAAATAAAGGTGTTAAGTCAAATTATTGATAATATGGAAATGTCACCGTCAGAGCACACTAGTATCACGGTCATTTAAAGAACTCATCAATCGTGTAAAAACATTTATTAATGAGATATTTTTTAAAGTGAACTTTAAATAAATGTAGATGAAGTTATCTTATGGCCCCAGGTATTCTGTTGTAAATTCTAGGTGCCATGCAAAAAATACTCTTGCTCATTAGTGCAGTTTGAGCCTTTCGCATGCATAACCTATCATTATCTCGTCTGTTCCGTATCGTTTTGTCTTGAAGACGTTTAAATATATTAGGATTAGACTTAACGAAGACTGCTGTTTCAAATATATAAAGTGCCGGAACAGTCAAGATACTGTTGTCTTTAAAAAATGGTCTACAGCTGTCAAGTGTTTGTAGTCCAAACATCGCTCTTATTACTCTTTTTTGAGATTTAAAGACGAGTTCTCTATTCGTTGATTTACCCCAAAATATAATGCCAAATCTTAAGATTGATCCTACCATACCGTGATACGCTGTTAGTAGAGCATGTTTATTTAAAACCGGAGCCAGTTTGAATAGGGCATATGACGCAGAAC